ATATATGCATTTGCTTCACTCCGCGAATGTTAGCATTTACTGGCCGCTTTATTGGATTGCGTCTCTAGACAATTTTTATGAAGAAATAATGGAACACTCAATTTTCTTCCAGAACGAATTAGGAGTATGTCAAGACACTGGCGGCAGTGAGGGCGGAAAATCAGTGGACACATCACCGCTGCGGGATAGCCGTACGTTTGTTTCATTTTACCGTTTTCTGAATTTATTTTTAAGAATTTGAATGCTAAAATTTAGCGTAAAATGCGATTTTCAGCATCATCGTGCATAGGTCGTGAGGACGGTTACTACGATTTGGGTTGTTCGGCAAGATACTTTTCATGTTCAGGCGGTAGAACAACGATGCTCCAGTGTGAACTTGGGCTGAAATTCGATGTGCAATCTGAACAATGCTTAGCCAAGGTTAACTGATCGCTTTTTTCTATGGATTTTGGCTGCATTTCGAATGCTTTTTCCGGATGTTCTGATCTTTGCAATAGAAATTTCCGTGGTTAAAGTGGAATGTCGTGATGGGTTAGATCTGGGCGTAAGCTGAGTCTCATACTGGGGAACCACCAATTTGTTTAACAGATACCTCCTCACCGTGCTATGCAAAACTATTCATTTATCCAATAGATACTTCACTCCATTGTGACAAAACCATCTATCTACTTGTTTAATAGTTTCCCCAGCCTCGATATAAGCCTGAGGCTAAGCTTAAAATCAAATTTAATCCACCACCGCATCTCACCTTATTTGTTGCCACTATTCTTTTGATACTTCTAATAATTTTTTAACTATGAATTTTTCCCTTTGAATATCACTTTTTCGATTGTAAAGCAGTCCGACTAAAATTTGAAGCAATCGCACAATTCGAAATCGTCAATTATTTCAGCGTCTCGTGAAAGCTTGTGACGGACAATCAAACGCTGATTCAGAGAGCTGAAGGAGAATGTAATACATCTGTACAATAATACACCAACGTGGAGTGGTCAATTAATATACATGCAATCAAACTTTTAAATGTTCAGCTGTCACTTCATCAACATATCAAGCGTAGTGCTGGCTAACATACCGTACTTCATTCAAAATGCTATCGCGTCATGAAATGAAAATTGATTTGCCGTTATACAATAAAATGATACAATAACCGCTCAAACATTCACGCAACCAGCATATCAAATCAATTCTCTCGATTTGTAGTTTCGATAGACTTTTATCGTTTTCACCATATTATGTGTGAATGAGAATCGCTTTTCCAAAAAATTTTATTCAATTCAACAGGAGGAAGGGAATACAATGTGGTAAGGTTGGCAGTGATTTCTCCTTTGGCTTGTAGGAACGGAGGAAACAAATCTTTTTTCACTCTCTCCGTCCTCATTGGGTCCTCATGCCAGCCTTATAACATCGATATATTCTGCACAATTGAACAACAAAAGTTAACAATGCAAATCATCTCATCCGTTTTCAAATTTCTCTTCATCGTTAAAATCTAATTGATGAATAAGCAAGAGCAGTGATCAGGAAATGTGATTTGTGAAAGCATACGCGAAGTTCATAAAACCATTAAAACAACATTTGAATAACTACAATGAATTTTTTGGTCAGACCAGATTAGTGGAAAAAGTGGAAACACTAAAGATGAGGAATATTAATAGGATGAGGTAGAGTGCGACATAGAAGTACATGTGTTAGAAAGTTTTTGTTCGTAACTGAGACGAAAATGGGACAATTTTTATTAGAAATCTGAGAATAATCACACGGAGAAGATCACTGGGGAATTAGTGAAAAAATATCCAACATACAGCTTGAAACGCTCGAAAATATATTATTAACTTAATAGTGTGAAATA